ACATTTCTGGGCATGGCGAAGCTTGATAGATGGCTGACAATGTCAAAAGACCATATTTATATTGAAATTTATCCTCCCCCTTGTGTGTCATCTCTCAATATACGGCCGTTATACAGGCTATGTATATCCATTGTCGCTGGGCGTGTCGACTGGCAGTGGGTATATCTTCAACTCAACCTTACCTGACAAGATCATGATCCCATGCCCTGAGCGAAAAAGTCTGCTCAACAGCAGCAGAACTGTAACCCATTGCCAACCCTTCAGACGGACAGTATATATACAACATGGCCACCAAGAAACCAAGGTTGTTCAAACGTCTTGGGAAACCAGGCCATCTTTGCCATCTGGAGTGGCTCGACTTTTCTCTTCGACTTTATCTCTCACGATCCTCACGTACTGAAGTCAGTTTCCCAATTTCGACCCCCCCCCCCCTTTTTTTTTATTTTTTTATTTAACACCAGAGTGAGACAGTGTGCGAGAGAGATGGGATGAATCTAATCTGCCATCCATCTGCCCAAGCCAAAACCATTGGCTTGGCTTTCTGGCCTGTGACGGGTAAAGTTCATGCATCACTGGAGTTTCCTCGGTCATCTGGGTCGACCATGTCCAGGTTGTCGGTATGATAAGTAGCTTTTGAATAATGCATTTCGATAGGCTACACTAAAATAGCGTTTAGAGTTGGTATAATGACTAGACTTAAAGATGAGCCCGGTGTCTCGATGTACAACCGAGGTGACGATGAAAATGTCGGAGCTTATCTGCTCACAGTATTGCCCCAAGATGTTCGCTGAGAACTGCATTATGGCTCCAGCTTGACGAGAATATCAATTGCTACCCCGAACGAGAGCAGTCCCGTCGACACAGGAGTACTGCAGCACCAACAGGGTTTATACAGTGTTTCCCATAAAAACCTTCTCTACAACAACGCTTCTTGCCTCGTGCAGCACTGTATCTTATGATCTAAAAGGAAGTGCTGAAGGTAAAGCTATACGACACAACACAATGAAGGCGGCACGTGCTCCATGCATGTTGATCACTCGAGGAGCAGTGTGTAAACGTAAAAGCCGCAAGACCCCAAGCCTGGGAATGCAGATGCCGACGGTATGTCTACAGGGCGATCCCTTACATATTGCATCCAATTTCTGGCCAATCAACGTACCTTTTCGACACTGAGAGTCTAGAATGCATAGCATGCATTGAATTGGCAACCCGACTATGTGATAATTTGGTGTGTTTATCAAAGACATGCTACTGCAGGCGGTCCACCCCGCTCAGGTCTGAGAAATGTTTACGAAACGTCTGTCTCGCGGGCTTCCACTGCAAACTAGGGCCATCGCGGCAGCGCCACCAGGGAACCGTTCAACACTTGCATGTTTGGATGTCGTATTCCATCGATTGATCGAGCTTCTAGCATCGTGTAATTGAGCTCCCTGCGCCCGAAAGGCTTTGACTTGGCGGTTGACTAAAGCAATGAAGCCGGTGGGCTGGTTTCGACGGAAGTGGCATTCGGATACGAAAGCTGAAAAGCCTCAAGATTGTAAAGATCACGATTATAGACATCACCGCATCTAAATCGGGCATGGGAATCCGTTGAGCTGAGCCGAAGACACTGCTAGCATGACGATGGATCATGAATGAGACCGCCCCAGAAGTGAGGAGCAGAGTGAAGAAACCGCCAGACTAGGCGATGGGGCCCGCTTGATCTGATTTCTCCGAGACCTGGTTCCGCACGAAATTCGAGATAAGTCATCATTCGCAGGCGATGATAGCCCATTTATCCTAAATCGAGATCAAAATGTGGGAAAACGTGAACCTGAGACCTGTGATATGCTGGTGCATTAACCTTAAAGGTCGGCTAACCACTTTGTTGGGCGGCAGAAGCCTACCATGTCTAGTGGTGACGGAAGATGCCACAAGGCCACGATGCGTGCGGTGCATCTCGGTCCTAGTTTGATGTCCATTGGCCCCGATGGTAAGGATGAATGTCCCGGGACGACGGCGCCATGCAGCCATGCACCAGAGGCTTGGGACAAGATGCCCACGAGGCTTGGTAAAATGCTATGCGCCAGCCGAACGTTGAACTTTTAGCCCATAGCCACGTCTCTCGTAAGTCGACAACTTGATGTCCAATCGATTTCAGCCACGTTCCCGGGGGTAGTGGTTAGCTTTGGTCTGCTTAGAGACATGGTCGTATGCTTTCTCTCCACGTTGCCGGACTACCTCATTTTGGACTTGGATGGACAGGTCTTGCTGGCCGCCAGAGGTCGAAATTACCTTTCCGAGTCGTTGGAGGGCTTGGAATCGAGACCTCTTTGGCGGAATGGAGGCTGCATATACCGTCTGCATACTTTTTGTGCGGTGAGGTGTCAAAGACATGCATCTACGAATACAGCACATACTGTGGAATATGACCCGTCCGGATGAAGTTGTCTAAGACCAGTCAGTTGGGGTCTCGGACAGATGCCGGTATGATGGTGTCGCTTCTGGACCCCAAATGCTAGGTACCAGGGGTAAGAGGGAAAAATGTAAAAGGCGATGATTCGTCAGAAATCGACGCGGCCCCTGTCCGTCAGGAACGCCACAGTGATCGGCAATCCCGTAAGCTTACCAGATTGAGATCGGGGAATAAACGAGTGCGTACTCGAGCTCCTATCAACCACAGACGTCGCGTTCCGATTTCTCATTGGCGCTGTTTCGCTGGGACTGCGCACCAAAACGGTTCGAGCGAGAGACGGGAATCCCCTCGTACGACATGAGCAGCGCGTCCGTCACTATTGACGGCGCGCTTTCACTAGAGCTCAAGCTAGAAGACTGCTGTCACCCAGACAGCAACGAGACGGAGGGTCGATGTTGCGTGCAGTGGGCCAGGTATGACAGCACCAGGCTCGGGTCAGTCAGTGGCTTTGAGGTTGGCAAGACAGCTTCGAATTCGGCGCATGCTCCGTAACGAGGTTGGAGATGGGACGGATGGCCTAGGACGACCAGGGTGCCAATATCGATCAGCGGAAACGTTGGAAAGCTCAATTGCCCATGAATCCTGGGCTCATGTTGTCTACGGCTTCTGGTTGGACCATTTGCCACGACCGTCAAATTGGTAATGAGTCCAATGCCAGCAAGGAGACTGCCGTTGAAAATGGAGCCATGTAGCATCCGATTGAGTAGCGACACTAGTCCATGGGATGATGGCCGGGCCGGCACAACGTTGCTAACGTCGGAAAGCCGACAGTGACAACATGACATATTGATCGAGCGGCTCAACAGCTGGGGTTTCGAAGCGAAGCGAAGGGGATGGGTTTACCGCGCGGAGGCAGCCGACTCTAATGCAGTCCGAGCTGTGGTACTATCGCGAGGCGCTTTCAGCACCGAGCAAACGACTCAACGTTTGGTTCGACTGACGCGATATGGCGTCTAAGTGTGCCGTTGGAGGTAGGTAGCGCGGCATAGCCCTGTTGGATCGGCGTAGGGCGGTCAACTTTGGCGTCAAGTCTCAGCTTGACCGGGGCAGAGAGTTCAGCGGGACCATCTTGGTCGGGTGGAGACGAGCACAGCAGCGCCAGGGCCGTGGATGATGGATCAAGATCGAGCACCTAGTGTATTCAGAGTCTAGAGCGACTGCTTGGGTCCTTGGATGGGCGGGAGTGACGCAGAGGTAGATGGTGGATGTGAAGCTGGATGACGGTATTGCTTGGTGCCCCCTGTGGGCCAGGGTCAACCGTGTAAGGGAGGGCGAGGCGGTGGGTGGTTAGTTTGCGGTTCGTTGCCATATTGAACATGCTTTGCTTTGGTGCGGTTCCGTTTTGGTGACCATTGCCGAGACGTCTCGGGGAATGAAGTGACCTAAGGTTCCGTTCCCCAAGTCACATATCGAGTTGAGAATGATTGCGGCTGAAGATAGTGCAAGGGTTGTCTTGGATTGGCGACAGGCTGAAGAGTGAAGACTCGGAGAGAGGAATGCGAAAACTTGAAGGGCAATGAGCAACGAGATTTGCAGTCCGAGTGTGCCAATCTGGAGTTCCCTTGCACCGTATTCCTTGGTGAACACCCGACTATGGCAATGACGAAGATGCAGAGAAAAGTCCGAATGTCGTACGCAATATTCCGTACGAAGTACTACTGCCGTACTGCCCGCGTAGGTAAGGTATGCTACGTACTAGGTATGCATGGCAAGCCGCAGTACATAGAGGGCAGGGCAGGGCAGGAGCGGTGGCACCGAGCCCCAGTTACCCAGGACAGGGACAGTAGGAACGGTAAGGTACCAAGGTAAGGTAGGGACGATGGGCGCGACATCCATCACATGGTGACATGGTGGCATCGCAGCAAGTGCTGTTTACAGGAAAACCCTAAAAAGAGACTAGCGCTGTCAACTGTGCCCCATTTCTCGGTTCTCACCGGGCTGGGAACGGCCTTGGTATGGCCTGTGCTCGTGGCTGATTGCCTGCCACCTGCCCTGCGTTTTTTCCCCAAGTGCAAGAGCATCTCCGGTGCAGACTACCTTGGGTGCAGACCCTGCCCCGGTCATGTTTGCTTAGCTAATGCATACAAAAACACCATCAAACACATCAGATGCTCCCATGCACTGGACTGCACTGTTAGGTAGGAGTGAGAGGTGGGCGGATTGTGAGGTACTCGGATCCACCTCCGCTAGCAAAAGACTCTTGGGAACTTGGGCTTTGAGGCCGTCTCTGCCGTTTCTTCCGTCAAAGTCCAATCGCCATGGTGCCCGGCCTGCCACATGCCGTTGCTTTCCTCGGCGCCTACGACGACTGATCCAACATTACGTAGTCTTGTTAGCCCTACACTCATCATCTACCTCCACTTTGCGAATCTCTTTCCACTTTACTACCTTGATCTCATGCTTGTTCTTGTGCTTGTTCAGTCGTGCTCGTGAAGGTGCCTCAATAGGTACCTAGTGAGTTGCAGTGAGTGTAATGCTTTGTGGTGTACCTATAAGCTAAGGTATGTTGTGTGGTTAGATTGTTTCTTCCCAGCACCCCCCCCCCCTCCCCGCCAAAGGCCCAAAACACATCCAGCCCAGCCAGGAAAAGGTGATGGTGATGGACAGTGGACCTGGTGCGTGCCGACAACCTTAGCTCGAACCCCTCCACCACACCCACGCCGCAGCGCCGCAACGCCGCGGCGCATCTTGAGCCTTGAGGTACCCTGCTCCTAATTTACCTTACCTGACGGATACTCCAGCACATTCTACATTCCTCACATTTCTTCGCTCCTCCAACCCGAACACTCCGTTCACCTCCATTTTCTCCTTCTTCCATCACCTCAGCTCGCTTTCTTTTCGAGGCTGTATTGCATATCCGCGCCGTCATTTCTTTTTACTGCCACACCAGCTCACACCTCTGTTGCGCCCAGCTACTGAATCATCGTCCATCCTAAATCTACCTACACAACTGTACCTCCGCCTACCTAAGCTCTGCCGAAGCCGTCTTCTACCCCAATCCGTCTCACAAGCCGGCTCCAAACCATCAAAAGAGTCAACTAGGGTCCTTAGCCACCCTTGCTGCAGGATCCCTTTCCCGCTTTGAGATAGGCCCTTCAGCTAGCCCTCCTCTCCTCCTCATATCGTAAGGTACTGGTAAGCTTGTCCACGCTCCTCCAACCAGTTTCGCTCTCGAGAAAGGCTGACACTGCTCTTGTGCTCACCAACTTAGTCTCGAGACCTAAGCACGCGCATTCTCATCCCGTCCCTACACCTCAACCACGACCCCCTCGCTTCCCCTCACCATTTTCTGAACTCGCGACAACCGTACTTCAGCTTCGTCGCGCATCTATAAAGACGTCCGGTCCCCGAAATCTTCCTTGTCAACCCACTCCTTTTCGAAGACCATCTCGCCGAGCTAGAACCTCCTCCCACCACGGCTTGTTGGCCTCGGGTCATCAAATACACATAAATCGGGTCTGAGAATAGTCTCGCCGTCTCGACAAGATGTCAGGATACCCGGGCCAGTACGGAGGATACCAAGGCGGCCCACCGCCGCAGCAGCAATACGCGCAGGGCGGCTATTACCCGTATGAACTCCGATCTTTGTTCGCGTGCCCGCTCTCAGTCACTAACATGAAGAGCAAAAGCCCTCCACAGCAAGGATACAATGGATACCCTCCTGCTGGGTCGGGCTACGGCTACCAACAGCCGTCCCCTCAACCCTACGGTTACAACCAGGTACGGGTGACTACCAGCATTGTCCAAGTGTCGTCAACTAATGTAATGCCTAGCCCCCTCCTCCGCAACAATATGGTGGATATCAGCAGCCCCCGCCTCAACCGAATTACAACAACCGTCCAGGTAAGTTTGAAAGTTGTGCGCTTAGAACGAAAATTGTAGAGTTGACAGCCATCGCTATGAAGGTGTACCCACCGTGAACTCGAATGCTTACATGCACGGAAACCACAACGCTCCTCCACCGCCGCCCTCGCAACCGCAGAGATTTGGACATGGCGCGCCAAGTAACTACAACTTCCAGTACTCCAATTGTACCGGCCGGAGAAAGGCGTTACTGATTGGCATCAACTACTTCGGTCAACGCGGTCAGTTGCGTGGTTGTATCAATGATGTGAAGAACATGTCAGCATATCTCGTCGACCGTTTTGGTTATAAGAGGGAGGATATGGTTATCCTCACTGATGACCAGCAAAATCCCATGAGCCAGCCTACGAAACAGAATCTCCTCAGAGCCATGCATTGGCTCGTGAAAGACGCGAGACCCAACGACTCGCTTTTCTTCCACTACTCAGGTAAGTCGCGAAAGACACTTCCACTATGTGGTTAGACGCTAACGCCTCTAGGCCATGGTGGTCAAACAAAGGATCTCGACGGCGACGAGCCTGACGGATACGATGAAGTCATTTACCCAGTAGACTTCCGCCAAACCGGTCATATTACGGATGATGAGATGCACAGAATCATGGTTCAACCTTTGCAAGCTGGTGTGAGACTGACTGCTATCTTCGACTCTTGTCACTCGGGTACTGCGCTCGATCTCCCCTACATCTACTCGACTCAGGGTATCCTCAAGGAGCCCAATTTGGCCAAGGAGGCCGGCCAAGGCCTTCTTGGTGCTATTTCGTCATACAGCCAGGGCGATCTGGGCGGTGTGGCAAGCAACATCATGGGCTTCTTCAAGAAGGCAACGACTGGCGAAGATGCCTACCAACGCACCATGGCCACGAAGACGTCGCCTGCTGATGTGATTATGTTGTCAGGAAGCAAAGATGACCAAACTTCGTATGCTACCCCCTTCTTTCTATTTTGATGATACCCTTGTCGTTTTCGTTGCGCTTTACGGATTCTATGGAGATTTTACAAAGAGTTCCCTGCTTGTATCGCCTCTCCTGGTGGGATGGCTAATTCTGGAGACTGGGGGTGAAAGGCGAAAGCCACAAAAACGGAAAAGTTTTGGGCGCGCAAGTCTCTTTCTGGATGTTTTCTTTTCGTGTTTCTACATTATACATGTTGCGCCAGGCCAACGATACTATTTTATTGCTCTAGAGCAAGTTGCAGCCTACTTGCGGCTGCGGTTTGCTTCTAGAGCGATGAGTCACGTTGGATCTGCCTCGGTCTACGAGTGTGGAAACGAGACGACATCAAGCCGAATTTCCATGCAAGCTGGATCTATGCTAACCTCACTCCGCAGGGCCGATGCAACAATCGCCTCCCAGGCTACGGGTGCCATGTCATGGGCCTTTATCACGGCCATGAAGAAGAACCCTCAACAGAGCTACGTGCAGCTCTTGAACAGTATCCGTGACGAGCTCGCGAGTCGCTATACGCAGAAGCCGCAGCTCTCCTGCAGTCACCCCCTCAGTATGTTGCCTCCCGGAAGAAGCGAATGAACATCTATATTATTACCACGTCTAACACCATCGCAGACACCAACCTCTTGTTCGTCATGTAAATCATAATCCTGTGTGTCAAACGGCCGGTCCGCCATGTATATGTCATAATGCCCTACTTCGGCCGGGAAACATAAATACTCAGGGTTGGTTAGACATGGGTAGGCATAGGTCATCATTGGAAAAGGAATCGGTGGGATGGCGAAAATTGGGGATTTTGGGTATCATTTGGGTGGTTTCCTTTCGTTTTTTTGGGCAGGTTTTTTCTGCCACACTCTCGACGCCCTTGTCCGCCTCTCGTATAGTTGAGATGCCAAGTAACCTACCTACCCTCACTCGACTAGTTCTCCGAACTGGAAATCAGATAAAAAGTTGATTCACGTCACTTCAATACGGGGTGAATTCGGGAATGTCGCAATGTGCGTGAGAGAGAAGCGGAATTAAGCATCTGTTCAGGTACCCATGCCTCCTTTCCAACTTCTTCATCATGCAACCTGATGCCGTGTATGGAAATTTCATGTCCTACTGCGTAGACCCAAACAAAGTGAAATATGACAAAAACTCCTTTCCCATCCCGTCCGTCCGTCGCCCAGTCATTCTACCAATAAAGTAACTTTAAGGGAAAAACAAATGTTTTAATGCTCGACGCCCAATACGCCAGAAGAGGGGACATGAGCAGCAAGTAAGGTATGCCAAGCAGGGAACCAATAATCGTCCTGATTTTCCATTCTCCTCCCACTCCCCCAGTGAATCCTCCGTCCCATTCTAGGGCTAGCTTGCAAATCCCATCTTCCAAATGTGGACGATCATCAGCTCCAAAAGAGGAAAGGAGAGTGCCCGCTCGCTCGCTTTCACTGCAACATCAAGGGTTTTTGTGTGCCGTCACACAGTTAGGCAGGAATACTGTAACACAACCGGCTGCTGCTATGCAGAAACAAGAACAAGACTGAACACCATATGCTAAATGCGAAATGCGGATGTTGCTGAATGAGGGAAGCAGGTGAGAGCGGGATTGGATGGGGTTGAGATGGGATGTGCGCAAGGGTGTGTGTGATGGACCCGAGATGATGCCGTGACATCTTCAGCTCGGCTGCAATGTGATGAATAGGGAAGGCGTTTCGCAGATGAGAGGGTTACTCTCGCAGATGTCCGAACCGCCATTCACCATTCACCATCCCATTCATCCACCGTGTTTTCCCTTCGGGAACACCATACTCCGGGGTATAGAGATGTAACGTAATCTGGCTAGACCTCCGAGTCGAGGCTAGTTGAGACCGAATAGAGAGAAAGACAGAGAAAGACTGTGACCGACAACCTATCATGCCGCAACGTCGTCGGCATGCACGACCTTGAGCTGCTGCCGCCTCTTGGTCTTGCGCATCTCGTCGACGCAGTCGGCCAGCTTCTGGCGCGTGGCCTCGTGCTTGGCCCATTCGCGCGCAGAGATCTGCATCCTGGCAATGAAGCGCGCCATCGTCGCCACCGTCTTGAGCGTCGGTCGGCCAGACGCCGTTTGCTTCCGCGCCGTTGTCGAGGAGGATGAGGATGGGAGGGGCCGGCGGCTGCCGAGCAGCTCGCAGCGGATCTGCTCCAATTCACGCAGCTGAGCCTTGTTGCTGATTCTGACGTTAGTATCTGGACCACTAAGGAAGAGAAGAAGTAGGCAGTCAAGGGTACATACCATGCGTTGGCAATGTCAAGCTCTAGCTGCAAGAACTTCTTTGCGTACGCCGCATCGGCGCGCATGCTGACCTCACGCTTCCACCGCGCCTGCATCCACTCCATCTGCAGCGTCATGCCGCGGAGCTCCTTGGTGTGCTTCGCGTCCGCGTTCTCGGCAGCGCGGATGACTGTCTCGAGCGCCTCGTCCGTCTGCCTCATTCTCTCGTCCGTCTCGGCAGCGAGTCGGGCTGCCCGCGGGTTCTTCTTCTCCGCTGCGGCCAGTGCCTTGAGATCTCTGATGTCCTTTTGCAGTTTCTCTGCGGTCAGGCGGTACGCTGCGCGCTCCGCCCGCGCCCTCTCGAGTTTGCGACGAAGCGAGCCCTCAGCGGCCGTCAGCTCATCAATGGTCTCCTGCTGCTGGATGACGTCGTGTTCGAGCGCGTCTGCTTCGCTTTGCGTTCTACGGAGCAACTCCTGAAGGTCTCTCTTCTCGGAGGACGACATGTTCTCGATGTTGTGACGGCCGTGGGCCACAAGCTGCCTGTCTTGCTCTGCCTTCTCAAGTTTCTGCTTCAGACGACGGAGAGCTTTTTCGTGGAGAACGGTAGCTTCGTCGGCATCGCGCTGGACATCTTCCAGTGCCTGCTCTAAAGCAAGCTTCTGATCTTCCAGATCATCAAGCTGGGTCTGCACATCTTGCTCGAATTTAGATGCTTTGCGTTCGGCCTCGCGAGCCTTGGTCTTGAACGTCTGAATCGATTGCTGTGCTGTAGAAAGCTGATGGCGCAGCTCAGTGACTTCGGATTTCCTGGCTGAAGGACTCGAGGATGCTGGAGACGTAATGAGGCGGGACATTTCAGCATCATGGGCATTGCGCTCCAGGTCTGCGATTTGCTTCTTGAGACCCTTGACAACATCCTTGTGGGCTGCCTCACGTTGGAGGAGCTCCCGCTCCTTTTGTCGTGCCGTAGAAAGATCGCGGCGGATAATGGACATCTCGCTGTTACCCTCACTGATGTTAGCGGGGAGTTGTTGGGTCGTCGCGAGCTGGTCTTCATAGTCTCTAATTCGCCGTTCGAGTTCTCGTATTGTGCGTCGTGTGGCAACTGATTCGTGACCTTCCGATGAAGACACCTCCCTTAACTTAGCTTGAAGCTGACGAATTTCCTGGTTGAGGCGATCCTCCTCTTCTGCAGCCTTCTCGATCTCATCTTCGAGAGACTTTTCAACGTTCTGCATTTGCTCCGCCAGAGCCGCGTTCTCGTCCTTGAGTCTCCGTACCTCATTGTCGAGCTTCAACTTTGACGTCCTCAAGTCCAAGCGCTCGCGGTCGACGCGGAGTGTCTCCTCGCCGTTCTGGTGCAAGCGCTTCATTTCGCTCTCAACCTCATCACGCTCTGCCCTTGCTTCGGCCAGTGAGCTGCGTAACGAGTGCATTTCGAGGTTGAGGTTAGCAAGTTGATCTTGCAGCGTCTGCTTCTCGCGAGACACCCTATTCACCTGCACAGTAGACTCGGAGACTTGAGTTTGCAGCCTGTCCTGGAGTGCTTCCTTCTCCTTGTTCAGCTTCGACACGAGTGATGTGGCCTCGTCAAGCTGAACTCGGAGTCGTTCAATGGCTTGATTTGACTTGCTAGCGTGCTCTTGAGAGACCGAGGCCGTACCACGGTGTACCTCATCAAGCTCCAGCTTCAGCGCATCGCACTCTTTCCTTGCAGCTTCCAGTTCCTCGCGAGAGTGTTCCGATTCCTCGTCCAAAGTCGTTTGAAGGACCTCCACTTCATCCTCCAACCCCTCGATTTTCTCGCTCTGCGCTTGATAGTCTAGCTGAGTTTGGCGGAGCTCATCCTGAACTTGTGATAATTCATTCCGCAACTCATTGAGCATAGACTGCCGTGTCTCGAGATTTTGCTGAAGGTCCTCAATTTGCCTTGTGAGGGATGCTCTCTCGTCCTTGTGACGTTGAGCTTCGCTCTCTAGTGCTTCCTGCAACCTTGATTCCTTTGTCGATAGGTTGCCTTCAGCCTCGCGCAGTGCTGCAATCGTCCTTTCCAAGCCCGAGGCCTTCTCTTCCGCCCGTTTGCGCTCAGAGTCGAGTGTTTGGCGGTCTGTTTCCCATTTTTCGCTGTCGTTGTCGTAAAGGTTATCCTTTTCCCGAATTTCAGCCTGGAGGTCCGAGATCTCGTCATTAAGCCTGTCGATTTCGTCTCTGTATTGGCTGCGGATATCCCTTTCGATCTCGAGGGCGTGGTCCCGCTCTTGGGCGAGGCTCTCCTCCAATTCACCCACATTCTTTTGAAGGCGCGCCACATCTCGTTGCAGAGAGTCAGACTCGCCTGTCAACGCCTCGTGACGACTTTGCAGCAGATTCTTCTCGTCCAACCTGGCCTCCAGATCCCTTTTCAGATCTTCCACTTGAGCCAGCAGCGACTGGCGTTCGCGATCAGAGAATTCTCGTTCTTGACGGCCCTCGTGCGCGGCGTTCCTGAGGCTTTCTTTCTCTGTCGTTACGTCGGAGAGCTGCTGTTCGATCCTGGCCAACTGTGACTGGTAGTCGCGCTCAGAGGCTTCGCGGGCACGGCGATCTTCCTTAGCAGCGTTTTTGAGTTCGTCATTCTCCTTGATCGTTTGGGAAAGCTGCTGTTCGATATTGGCGAATCTCGTGTCGGACTCCTCCAGCTCAGCTTGCAGGCGCAAAAGCTTCTCCTCCTTTTGTCGCGAGAGCCCCTTTGTGGCAATAGACTTGTTCGCCAGCTCCTCTTGAAGTTCTTCCAAGTCACCCTTTGCTTGCTCCTTGTCTGCAACGGCCTGGTTGAGCTTGTCTTTCATGTCTTCGACCTGCTCTTCCAAGCGACGGACATTGGTTTCCAGATCGTCGATAGTGTCCTTTGCTTCTTCCAAATCGTCATTAGACTGTCCCTGTTGCTCAAGTTCGATCATTCGTCTTTGGGCATCCTTCATCTTGTCCTCCGCGTCGTCCAGCTTCGCCTTGAGCTCGTCAATTTCGTCTTCGTGATCTCCTAGAAGGCGCTCCTTCTCGCGAAGTTCTGCTTCTAGGTCACCAATCTCATCTTGTAGCTTGTCCACCTGTCCTTGATCGTTCTGTCCCTGACTCAATTGGCGCTGCATGTCGTCGAGATCAGCTTCTCTATCCTCCAAGGCCTGTTGCAGTCGCTCAATCTCAGCTAGTTGCTTCTGGTCCGCGTACTTCTTCTTGGCCCTCTCTTGTAACTCCATCATCTGCTGTCGGTAGCTTTCAAGGTCCTTCTCGGCCGATGTCAGGTGCTTCTTGTACTTGTGAAGCTCCCTCGTCATAGTCACTTTGTCGACCTTCAGCTCGGTGTTCTCCTTTAATGCGGCCTCGCTGAAGCCGGGACCGGCCTTCCGCAAAGCCTCCTCGAGGAAGTGAATCTTGAGTTTCAGGCCAAAGTTTTCCTTTTCGATTTTATCGATTACGCTCTCCTGCTCTCGGAGCGACAACTGGTTTCCGTCCTGCAGAGGGCCTTTTCCGTCGCGTCGCGGCAAGACTACAAGCGGTGTAGAGGCAGTGCTCGTACTGTCGACTTCGGGGAGTGGTGTGCGATCTACGAAAGACCGCGATTGGTACATGGAGGTGTCGATATTGGGAATTGGCGTCATGTCCTCGTCGATTCTGTTCAGTAGTGCGGGCGTGTTCGGTACGGCGCCATTCTCCTTGCCAGACCTTCGACGGATGCTATTTCGCGTGGCTGACTTTAGCATAGGGGTGAATTCTGCTCCTCCGAGGCCTGCAGGTAG